CTTGTAAGGAGCATGCTGGCTGCACTGCTTCTGAGACAGATGTGTTTCTTGTTCTGGCAGATTCAGTAGTCACCACGTTCTGACTATTGATGGCTGTTTGCAGTTGCTTCTCCTCAGTTTGAGGGTTGTTTTTTGTTTTCTTTTCCCCCACCTTAATTTTAATGAAAGTTTACAGAGACTTAGGCTTTCCAATCATTCATTGTTTCACTTTTCTCACTGCCCACTCCTAAACCCCAATTCACTTTTCTCCTTGATGAGTAAAAGAAAAACTCTTTCATTGCTATGCAATCCCTACCCCCAAGCCCACTCCACTATGCAGCCTTCATTCTGGTCTCCTGTCATGACAATAATACCCAATCATAGATTCCTTTTAAACAGTTCTCTCCCTCATCTGTTGCAACGCAGTATACACTATTCCTCCCCTTCTCTGTCTTCCCTCAACCTCAATGTCAGTCCTATTTTACCATAGTGGCTGTATGCACTATTTGTCCTTTTGTGACTGAGATATTTCACTCAGCATAATGTCCTCTAGTGTTATCCGCTTAGCAAGTTTTGACACATCAGCGAACAAAAGTCCTTCATTGGCTGCAAGTTTCACTCCATGTCTTTAAGGTCAACTACTTTGAAGAAACAGTTTTCTCCCCAGGCATTCTGAATGTCTTCCCGTGGACCTCATCTTCTGACAATGTATGAAACCATGTTCTGATGAACTCCGTTCACAGAGTTTTCACCAGTCCATTATAACACAAGTGGAGGGTCACGGTTGTTTCCTAGTCTGCATTTCTCTGGAAGCTCTGCTGAATCCTCTTTACCACAGGCAGCCTTGCTGGTATTCGAATACTGGTGGTGTAACTTCCAGCATCACAGCAACGCTCAGTCTCACAGTATGAATAAAATGACAGATGAATGGTAGGGAGTCACCGTGTTATTGACCCATAGCTGACCCTCTTGTCAGTTTTCAGAAGCAGTTAATCACCCAGGAGGAGATTGCCTGTCTTTCTCCTGCAGAGCAGCCGGTAGCCTTGAACCACGTGCCTTCAGGATTGCAGTGCAACTTCTTGCCACTAGGCCACCAGAGCTCCCTAGGGAGTCACCTCAGGAGTGTGGCATTTCATAGCTGTCTGGGAAGGAGCTCTGGTGGCATACTGTGCTTAGAATTGCACTGTTAACCCAAAAGCCACACTTTTCTGCTGGTTTGAATCTACTGGCAACCTTGGAAGAAAGATGAGTAATCTCTTCCTGAGTGATTGACAGTCTTGGAGACCCTGGAGGGAAGGTCAGCTAGGAGTTGATTTTGACTCAATGGCAATGAGAGAGGGTGTGGGAAAATATCAACCTTGGGCTCACAGTCCAATTTAAATGATCTTGTGCAAATTGTTTTCTTAGAGTTTCAAAACAAAACAAAACACAACAATCAACCCTCCCAAATTATTCTTATGGAAGGCTGTGTTCTGAAGCTTCGTCTGACATACTTTGGGCATGTTGCAAGGAGGGACTGGTCCTTGGAGAGGGACATCATGTTTGGCAGAGTGGAGGGGCGGCACAGGAGAGGAAGACCCTCGATGAGATGGACCGATTCTCTGAGTGGAGTGGTGGGAATAAATGTGTTTGAGATGGCTAGATTGGCACAGGATAGAATGGCGTTTAGAGCTCTTGTACATAGGGTTGCTATGAGTCGCAAGAGACTTGATGGCACATAACAACAACAACCACAACAGCAACAAGGCCGTGTTTAAGAGCCCACCATTCCTGAGACAGACCATGTCACACTGGGGCACTGGGAACGTAGACCTGGGCTTTTATTCTGGCTGTTAACTGTGACTTTGGAAAGTCTCTTAGCCTTCTGTGAGGTTGTTACATCAATTGCACAGCAGGGATGACATTGACCTCACTAAGCATGCTAGGGGGGTAGGGATGGGGATTAAATCAACTTGTAGACTGCCCAGAACACGATCCAAAAAGTCTCTGAACTGAATCTTTACACAATTTCCCCTAGTTCTAGTGTCATTTACAGGCGAAGATCAATTTCCTGTTACAAATTGTGAAATCGAAGGCCCCTCTTCCTTCTGAAAGTATTTCAGAGACAGTTGAACCAGCACTGGAAGGGTGGGGGACAGGTCATATGAACTTTTTTAGTATGTTTTGCACAGACGTCCTCTGAGTTTCCAAATCTTCTGGTCCCCTGTTTCAGGTGTTACTTCTCATGCCCAAATATGCATCGTTTCCCTTGATAAGGAAACAAGGGTGGCATTTATCACACTCTGAAAACTCCCTCTAGGAATGGCCTCTCTTCTGAGTGTCTGTTGACCCAAACCCAGATCTAGTCCAAAACACATTCCACACTACTTTCCAAGCCACGGCTAGCAATACAGTGTGATCCTTCTGGTCATGCAGTGTTTGGATCTGGGATGCAAGCATGGATCTGTCATTAGTAGCCAGGGAGCATAGAAGGCCTGTGGGGGCCCTTCTGTTCTTGGCCTGCTGATAAGAATGCATCCATGTGGACTGTTGGGTTCTTATTTGGAATACGGAAGGTGAAAGGTGGTGATTGAACTCACGCTGTAATTCCCAAAGAACATCGTTAAAATTCTTTAAAAATTTTTATTTCTTTTTTTAAAATTAATTTTAATTAAAGTTTACAGAGACTTAGGGTTTTCATTAATCCATTATGGTACTTTTCTCCCTGCCCGCCTTCTCCCCCCAATTCACTCTTCTCCTTGAAAAAGAAAAGAAAAACTCTTTCCTTGTTATAAAATCCGTCCCCACAAGTCCACTCCACTATGTAGCCTTCATTCTGGACTCCTGTCATGACAATAATGCCTAGTCACATATGCCTTTTAAACAGTTCTCTCCCTCATCTGTTTCAATGTAGTAAACGTTATTTATCCCCTCCTTCTCTGTCTTCCCTCAACCCCGATGTCAGCTCCGTTCTACAACAGTGGCCCTATGCAGCATTTGTCCTTTTGTGACTGAGATATTTCACTCAGCACAATGTCCTCCAGGGTCACCCATTTTACATAATATTTCATGAGTTCCTTGTTTTTCAGTGCTGCATAGTATTCCATTGTGTGAATATACCACAGCTTCTCTAGCCATTCATTTGTTGATGGGCACTTGGGTTGTTTCCAACTCTTTGCTACTGTGAACAAAGCCACAATAAACATGAGTGAGCTTATATCTGCTTGGGTGGTGGTTCTGGTTTCTTTAGAGTAAATTCCCAGTAGTGGAATTTCTGGGTCAAATGGTATTTCTATTTGCAACTTTATGAGAAAGCACCATACTGCCTTCCATAGTGGTTGCACCTTTTCACACTCCCACCAACGGTGAATAAGGGTTCCAGTTTCTCCACAACCTCGCCAGCATTTGATGTTTCCTGTTCTGTTAAATTTTGCTATTCTTACTGGGGTGAGATGATATCTCATAGTTGTTTTCATCATTAGAATTTGTGAAAGCCTCTTATGCAAAATAACTCCTGGTCAGAATATGAGATGAAAAATCACAAGAGTTAGAATAGAACAGCCCAAGATTGAGGCACGCTGGCATATAAGGGTCGCATCAGGGCACTCGGTTGCATCGGGGCACGCAGGTGCATTGACTGTTAGAGGCAGCCGCTATCATGGACGTGTTTCTGATGGTTGGGCGCCACAAGACCACCATGTTCATCGACGCCAAGGAGTCGAGCACCGTCCTGGAGCTGAAGCTTATGATCGAGGGCATCCTTCAGCATCCGCCTGAGGAACAGCGCCTCTACAAGGACGACCAGCTCCTGGACGACGACAACATGACGCTCCTCGAGTGCGGCTTCACCAGCAAGACGGCGAGTCTCTGGGACCGGGCCACGCTGGGGCTGGCCTTGTGGGGGGACGGCGCCTTTGAGGACCTCCACTTCGAACCCTACTCCAACCTGGAGGAGGAGGAGGAGGCGGAGCAGGCAGGGGTGGCAGAGGAGCCGGAGGAGGAGGAGGAGGAGGAGGAAGAGGAAGAGGAGTGGGAGGAGGAGTGGGAAGAGGAGCAGGAAGAGGAGCCGGAGGAGGAGGAGGACGAGGAGGAAGAAGAAGAGGAGGAGGAAGAGGAGGAGGAGGAGGAAGAAGAGGAGGAGGAGGAGCAGATGCAAGAATAAAATGCAGGAAGCAGCGAAGATGAGTACGCTGGGCCCTGAGGGGGGTGACCTCTACCCTACCCCTCCCAGAAAAGAGAGTTGGATGTAAAAAAAAAAAAAATCGAAACAAAAAAATCCAACATTAATAAAATTACCATGTTTACAAACAAACAAACAAAAAAAAAAGAATAGAACGGCCCAGTCATACATAAGCTGCTGATTTTTCAAGTCCATGTCCACGATCTGTGTGAACGAATGGAATGTACATACCCCTACAGATATGGGGCAAACGGGCTGGGCTACAGCTGTGATCATTATAGACCTGAACTCCCGTAGGGGTTTGGCAAGTGTTAAGAAACAGCACCTGCTCATATAAATGAGCCAAGGTGAAGTGTAATTTATAGAGACAGGATGATGGGCTGAAAAATTTTTAAATGGGAAGAAAAACAAGTTTCCCCGGAGTATTTAATTTCTGGGGGAAATAACAGAAGAGGGTTGGTAAAAGAAAATGACCATGTCGTTTGCAATTAATTTTTTTCCATTTATTTATTCATCATTTAAAAGGAATTCCTGGGTACCTGCTGAGTGCAGGAAAGTATCTGTGTGCATGCTTCTACACGCTGCCGGGCTGCAACCAACCCCATCCTTTCTCCAAGAGCTTGCTGGGCTTCCACGAATGACTTGATCATCGTCTTGCTGGGAAAGCAGTTCTGCCTGCGGCTGGTTTTTTATTTTCCTCTTGTCTTGTCAACAGCCATCCTCACCCCTCCAAAGATAGAGGTCACCAACGATGGCTCACACATGGTGATTGAGCTGGAAGATCTAGGGCCTCAGTTCGAGTTCTTTGTGGTCTACTGGAGGAAGGAACCTGGTGCCGAGGTGAGACACCCAGCCTTGGCATATGAGCCAGGCTCCCGGGTTTTTGTCTTATTTTATTTTTATTTTATATTGGTTTGTAGGCAAAAGTCAAATACATTGTGTTTCACACATTCCTTCATTTGCATTGTATTTCATAGAAGAATTCCTGCATATTTTGTTTCATAAAATTTATTGCCACAAGCTATGCCCACTATCAACCTGTCTTTTCAGGACCCCACCGGATCTTTCCTAATTCCTTCACCTTCTCCCTCCACCCACTAAACTCTGTGACCCCATAATTTCTGGCCCTCAACCCCTCCTAACTCTCTCTCCCCCTTCCCTTTCCCCTTTGAACTTTAGTAGACATCTTGCTAGTTATCCTTCTATTTTTATTCTAATGGTCTTATGCAGTATTTGTCCTTACGAGACTGAGTTAGTTCACTCAGCATAATGCTCTCTAGACTCCCCCATATTATATAGTATTTTTCAAATTGTTGCTCCTGAGTACTTCATAGTCTTCCATTGTGTGAATGTACCACAGTTTCTCAGTCAATTCGTTTGTTGATGGACATTTAGGCTGTTTCTATTTTCTTGCTATTGTTAATACGGCTGCTATGAACACTGGTGCACAAATCTTCAGTTGTATCTCAGTTCTGTTTTCCTGGTGGTATATTCCTAGCAATGGACTAGCTGGTCATATGGGATTTCTGTGTGCAGCTTTTTAAGAAAGTGCCAAACTGCCATCCAGAGTGGTTGTACCATTTTACAATCTCACCAACAGTGTATGAGAGTTCTAATCTCTCCACATCCTTACCAGCATTTACTGCTTGCTGTCCTGTTAAACTGTGCTATGGTTACTGGGGTGAAAGGGTATTTCACTGTGGTTTTGATTTACAACTCTCTCTTTTTTTTTTTATTTACAACTCTCTTATTGCCAGTGATTTTGAGCATTTCTTCACATGTGTTTTGGCTAACTGAATGTCTTCTAAAATTTTTTCCGTGTCTTTGCCGATTTTGTAATTGTGTTATCAGTATTTTTCTTGTGGAGGCCCAGTAGGACTTTATAAACCTTTGTTATGAGATCCTTGTCTGGAGATGTCATTGCCAAATACTGTTTCCCAGTCAGTAGATTTTCTTTTCACCCTGTTGGAAAAAATTTTTGATGCACACAGGGACTGGACTTAATCTTTAGGAGGCTGTCGATGTTATCCTCTTCTGGTTGTGCATTTCTGGCTGTATTTGCCAGCTTACTTATACCACAGGCTAAGCCTTCTAAGTTTGCTTCCATTTTGTCTCTTATGATCTTCATGGTTTTAGGCTTTACTCCCAAGGTCTCTGATCTGCCTTGAGTTGATTTTTATGTATGGGGAGAGGTGTGGATTCTGCCTCAGCTTTCTACAACAGTTCACTTTTGCCGGCACCATTTGATATATTTTGTTTTTTTGTCAAATGTCAATTGAGGTAGTCAGATGGGTCAGTTTCTAGGTTCTCAATTCCGTCTGTTGGTCTTTGTGTTTGTCATTGACTAGTATCGTGCTGTTTTGATTACTGCACCTGTGCAGTAGATTTTGAAATCAGGAAGTGCTATGCCTCCCAATTAATTTTTGTTCTTCAGAAGTGCTTTACTTAATTGGAGTCTCTTTCCTTTCTGAAGAAACTTGCTAAATGCCTTTTCAATATCTCTGAAAAAATGAATTTGGTACTTGTATTGGGATTGCATTAAACATGTAGATTACTTTTAATAGGATTATCATTTTCAGCATGTTGGGTCTTCCTGTCCATGAACAGGGAACATTTTCCCACTTATTTAGGTCTCTTCTTTTTTTCTTGCAGTAGTGTTTTGTAGGTTTTTTTTTTTTTTAAAAGTAAAGGTCTTTTGTGTCTCTGGTTACATTTACTCCTAAGTATCCCAATCTGTAGTTAACTATTGGAAATGGTCTTGCTTTCTTAGTTTCCTTATCTGTCTTTGTTACCTTGATCTTGTATCCTGCCACTAGACTAAGTTGATCTTCTAGCTCCAACAGGTTTGTTTAGTGAGATGCTTGTGTACACTATCATATCATTTGCATATAGAGGTGACAAAACTGCCACTATATGCAGATGATATGATAATGAATACAGCCTTCTGTCTCCTGAGGCTGTGGAGACGGGAGTGCACTGCTCACTGCCTTGTCTGGCCTGCAAATGAGAAGAGTGTCAAAGGAGAGACAAGAATTCCGAGAGTTCCAAGAACTTCCTTGACTAGGAGTCTTTTCAGGTCAGATCTGCTGATGTGTGAAGGCTGCTTGCTTGACCTAAAGGCTAACCTAGTTGAACCCACAGCATTTTTTTTTGGTACATTTCTTCTCCTCATCATCTGACTTCCTCAGCCACTCTCCCTAGCATGTTCAGGTGCAGAAAACCAGGTTGTTCCAGATGAACCAGAAAGTTCAAAGGCATGTGAGGCTGTCACAAGCCTCTTGAGGGTGTGTGTCTGGGCAGGGTGCACAAGTAGAGGGAGGGAACAGGTTTCTGACTTAATTAGACTAAGTCTGTCTAATGAATGAATGAATAACTAGGTGACTGAAATGCTTAGAGGAGGTTCTGTCCCCCTCCATGGGAAGTCTGCTGCAGGCTGAGCTAGGGTGGGAGGCCAATCCTCCTAGAAAAACCCAGGGAGCAGTCAGATCGAGCAGGACCTGGGGTACAGAGCTTCTGTCTAAAGTAAAGAGGCCTAGAGGCCAACTCCAGCTAGAACAAGTTACAAAGGGTGCCGTCAAATTGATTGCCACTCATCATGAGGCTACACACAGCAGAACAAAGCCCTGCTTGGTCTGTGCCATTCTACAGTCACACAATCACGGCATTGAGTCTATCATTGCAGCTACTACTATATCCATCCATATAATTGAAGTTCTTCCTTTTTTTCAACAACTTCCTACTTTTCTTTTTTTGTGTTTACTTTTGAACTTTATTTTGCTATTACTGAGCATATATATATACAGTGAAACATACACCATTTCTCAATTTCTATAATTTAGTGACATTGATTACATTCTTTGAGTTGTGTAGCCATTCTCATCTTGCAACTTCCTACTCTTCCAAGCATGAGGATCATGGACTGATGCTTCCTGAAAACAATGCTTTATGAAAACAATGCTTGTCCAAAACACAAGAATCTTTAAACGTCTTCATTATCCTCACTTGTTTTTTTTTAATTTCGTTTTTAATGTGATTTTAACAAAAGTTTACAGAAAAGTTGCATTTTCATTCATTCATTGTTGCACATTTTCCTCCCTACCACACCCCATTCACTTTTTTCTTAAAAAGACATTCATTCATTGTTGCATAATTTCCGCCCTCCTCACACTCCTCCCCCAGTCCACATTGCTATGCACCTCTCATTTGGACTATTGTCATACAAATAATGTCCAAGCATATATTCCTTTTACACAGTTCTTTATCCTCACTCTTAAGGAGCATCGTAACTATACTTTGTCCAAGATAGAATTGATCATGCTTCTGACAGTTCATGGTTATTGTTGTTAAGTGCCGTCGAGTTGCAGGCGACTCATAGCGACCCTATGAAGGAGAGACCTCGACGCTTGGGTGCCTTTCATCCTCTCTCCAGGTTCATAGGGTTTCCGGAGGCAAGCTATTACGGAAGTGGATGCCACTCCTCCTTCCACGAGTTCATGGTATTTTCAAGATTTTTCACCACCAGTATAATTGAAATGCATCAGTTCTTTTTAGGTCTTCTGTATTCCTTGTCTAAGTCCGTATACATATGAGGTGGTTGGGAATACCATGCCTTGGGTCAGGTGCAGCTTAGTTCTAAAGATGTCATCTTTGCACTTTCGTACTGTTACAGATCTTTTGCATTAGATTTCCACAGTGCGGGACACTGTTTGCTTCCCTAACTGCTGCTTCTACGGGCATCAATTGTGGATTCCATTAAAAAGCAATCTAAGGCAACTTCAATCTTTATTTCATGTATCATGATGTTGCATATTTGTCCAGTTGTTTGCACTGAGTAATAAGTGATCCATACTGAAACCTGTCACTCTTTAACAGCAGTCTTCCAAGATTCTCCTTACGTTTGTGGTTTCCATTTGTTGTTTGTTTTTTCCTATCCTCAACTGTCTGGAGGAGATCCACATTTGTTCCTATTTTAAAAACAAAAATAAAAAGATGATCCAACATGATGTGGAAATTATCAAGCAATAGTGATAGCAAGTAAAATCTTGCTGAAGATTATTGAAAAGTGACTGGAATAGTGCATTGGACTGCTAGAAATTCAAGCTGGATTCACAAGAGGCCGCGGAAGGAAGACTATCACTGTTGATGTTAGATGGATCTTGACTGAAAACAAAGAATACCAGAAAGACGTTTACTCATGCTTTATTGACTATGAAAAGGCATTTGACTCTGTGGATTATAATAAATTATGGCTAATAACATTGAGAAGAATGAGAATTCAAGAATACTTAATTGTGCTTATGTAAAACCTATACCAAAACCAAGAAGCAGTTGTTCAAACAGAACGTGGAAATACTGCATGGTTTAAAATCAGGAAAAGTGGTCTCAGAGTTATAGCTTTTCTCCGTGCCTGTTTAATTTGTATGCTGAGCAAATCATCAGAGAAGCTGGACTATATGGAAAAGGATATGACTTTAGGTTTGAAGGAAGACTCGTCTACAACCTGCTTCATGTCAATGACACAAGCTTGCTTGTAGAAAGCGAACAGGGTTTGAAATACTTCCTGCAGAAGATCAAAGTCTACAGCCTTAAATATGGATTACATCTCAATATGCAGAACACAAAAATCTTCACCATTGGATTAAGAGGCAACATCATAATAGATGAAGAAAAGATTTAATTTTTCTTGGATCCACAATCAACATCCGTGGCAGAAGCAGTAAAAAAATAAAATAAAATCAAAACACGTGTTGGAAGATCTGCTGTCAAGCACATGTCCAAAGTGCTAAAGAGCAAGGATGTCAGTTTAAAGAATAAGGTGCACCCGATCCCAGCTGTGGTCTTTTCAAAGACTTCTTACAAATCTGAAAGTTGGACAATAAACAAGGATGACAGAAAAAGAATCAATGTCCTTGAACTGTGATATTGAATATTGAATGGACTACCAAAATAACAAGTAAATCTGTCTTGGAGGAAGTGCAACGAGGGTGCTTTTTAGAGTAAAAAAATAGTGAAACTTTGTCTCATATACTTGGGGCATGTTATCATGAAGGGCTAGTCCTTGGAAAGGACTCCAAGGTAGAGGTCAGTGAGAGAGAACATGAGGACCCTCGATGAGATAGATTGACATAGCGACTGTAACAATGGACTCAAGTATATCTGAGACCAGGAGCATAGTGCAAGACAGGGCAAGGTTCCGATCTGCTAACCGTTCATGGGGTCGCTATGAGTTGTAGGAGGCAATGCTATGTCTTCTGAGCTTTATCCCTGAACAAATGCTGGCCTTTGATCTCACGTGGCTGATTATTCCAAGAAGTGCATATTTCCCTGGCATTCTTGTTCACCTCATAGACCTGTCTATTGTTTCACTAAAAGTCAAGCTACTGGAAGGGGCTTAAAGGGTTAAAGGACATAGGAATGTGGCATCAGGATCAGAGGAAGACTCATCAATAACGTGTGTCATGCAGATGGCAAAACCTTGCTTGCTGAAAGTGAGGAGGACTTATGTATTTGTTACAGAAGATCAAGCAATGCACCCTTCAGTATGATTGCGTCTCAATGTCAAGTGGTAAGAAAAGATTCTTACCACTGGACCAATAGGCAACACCATGAAAGATGGGGAAAAGAATTGAAACTGTTAATAACTTCATCTTACTTGCTTCTACAATTACCTCCCTTGATATCAGCAATCAGGAAATGAGACACATTGCAGTGGGAAAGCCTGCAGTTAGGGACCTCTCCAAATTATTAAGGAATAATTATGTCAGTTTGAGAATTAAGGTGCTTCTGATTCAGGCCATGGTCTTTCCAATCACTTGCTATGCATCTAAGAGATGGACAAGGAATAAGGATGACAGAAGAAGAATTGATACCTTTCAGAGGTGGTGTTGGAGAAGAGCACAGAACATCCCATAGATGGCCAAAAGAACAAACAAATATGTCTTGGAGATGGTGCAGTTGGAGTGATTTTTTTTGGAGGCAAGAATGAGGAGACTTCACCTCATATACTTTGGGCATGTTGCTAGGAGGGGCTATTCCTTGGAAAAAGACATGATGCTTGGAAGGGTGGAGGGTTGGCGAAGGAGAGGAAGACCCTTGACCGGGTGGATTGATGCAGTGACTGGCACAATGGGCTCTTGTGTGTCAGGAAGTGTGAGGATGGTTCAGGATAGGACAGGGTTTAGATGTGTTGTTCATAGGATTGCTATGAGTCATACTTGACTTGACAGCACCCAACAACAAAAATAAAGACTTAAAGGTTCCACCAGTCTCTACCAGAGTAGTGAGCTTGGTGTTTTTTTGAATGTTGAGTTTTGTTGCACATTTTTCTCCTACAAAGATGCACACGAGCCATCAGAACAAAGGACAAATGGACCACACAAACCTTGGGGGCCTTGAGGACTCTGAGACAGGAAAACTAGATGGCGCCTGGTTACCATTGCTCAGTGTTCAGCTCTTTTAATGAATCATTTCTCCCATTGGGTCTTTTCTTTCTTTTCTGCCCTTTTAATGCCTTTTGTTTGCTTTCCTACATGTCATCCCACAGCTCATCTGTCATTAGTGTTCAGTGTATCTCAATATTTGAAGTCAAATACGCCTTGTTAAGCAGATTGATTGGACCAGTAGAAGTTGTCGCTTTTTCTATGACTACAGTTGACACAGAGCCAGGCTACGGCACAGCCTCCCTTACATAGGGCCTTCCAAGGAGGGTTTGCATCCCTCCCAGGGGTCCTTTGCCCTGCAGACTTCCTGTAGCCCTCTGCCTTGTTTACTCACAGGCCTGCTCCCTCATGGCGTTTCCTTGGTTGTGTCTTTGGATTATCAACCCTTTGCGATGACACAGGTCTTATCTCCCTCATTATATCTTCACTCTCCTCCCCTTACTTTTACCTGTGGGTTTGTTGTTGTTATGTGCTGTCGAGTTGCCTGAGACTCATGGCGACACTATGTACAACAGCCCTAAAACCTGATCTACATCTTGCCAATCTTATTGTCTCCAACACATCTATCTCTATTACCCCAGTGACGGAATCAATCCATCTCATGGAGGGTTTTCCTCTCCTGCTCTGTCCCTCCACCTTCCCAAGCATGACGTCTCTCCCCAAGGACTGGTCCCATCTTGCTACATGTCCAAATTATGTCACATGAAGCTTCAGAATCCTTGCCTCCAAGGAGCAGCCTGGCTTCACCCTCTCCAGGACGAACTTGTTTGTTCTCCTAGCAGACCATGGTATATTCAACACTCTTCTCCAGCACCACAGATCAAAGGCATCAATTCTCCTTAGTCATTGTCCAACTCTCTGATGCATAGCAAGTAATTGCAAAGACCAGGTGCACCTTAGTTTCTAGACTGACATCGTTGCTCTTTAGTACCTTGGTGAGGTCTCTAACAAGAAACTTTCCAAATGCAGTTCATCTTTTAATGTCCTGGCTGCTGATACCAAGAGTTTAGACTGTAGAGCCAAACAAACTGAAGTTGTCAACAATCTCAATCTCTTCACCATCTTTCATGATGCTGCCAATTGTCCCAGTGGTAAGAATCTTTGTTTTCTCGATGTTGAGCTTTAATCTATATTGAAGGGTATAGTCCTTGACCTTCTGCAGCAAGTGTTTCAGGTCCTCCTCAGTTTCAGCAAGCAGGATTGTGCCATCTGCATAATTCAGATTGTTGATGAGTCTACCTCCAATTCTGATGCCACACTTCTCCTCATAGAGCCCAGCCTCCTGGATAATCTGTTCCGCATATAGATTGAAAATATATGGAGATAGGACACATCCTTGACACACACACATTGCAATTTTGAACCTTGCGGTGTTTTCTTGCACTATTCTGATGACTGCCTCCTGGTCCAAGTATAGGTTTCACATGAGCACAGTCAAGTGGTATTTTCCAACAATGAATTCTTGCGAAAGGATCTGATTGATCCTGCTCATGTTGTCATGTCTCATATAGGTCGCTCGTCTCTAACTGAGTCCTCTTCCAGGCAGGGGTACCCTTGATTATATATCGTCATCTCGGGGCCTGGTCTGGGCTTCTCTGTGCATTTGTCAGGGTCTGTAAGTGGAGACAGGTGGCACAGGTACTGATCCTGATTTCTAGTACTTACCCAGTCTTTCATGTTGGACCAGGGCCCAGCAGTACAACATGTGTTGCCAGGCAGGCAGATGGAATGGCATGGGGACCAGTTAGGGCCTGGGCACGAGGGTGCATGCAACCCCATCAGATTCTCTGAGCTGGAGCTATTTCCCCACCCTTTCTAAGTGGAACAGCCTGTGCTGACAAAGGAGCGTGTCCTCTGAGTCATCTGAGCCTCACCCAGACAAACCTTCACAGGTTCAGCTACAGATCGCAGACCTGGGGTGTGGGGCTTAAGTGAACAGCGGACAGATGGATGGCCAGATGGACAAGTAGGAAACACTGTGCCTATTGGCGTTGCCATTTCTGGGCCCTTATCTCTCTGATGGTATGGTCATGCCAAGCCCCTGATTGAAGATCAGAGCTTTGACTTTCGCTGGTCAAATGTTGCCCTGTCAGAAAGACCCTTCTCAACCATTATTTTTTCTTTTCTATTTTCTTGTTGTGTGCTGCCAAATCAGATCTGAGTGGCACAGGAGGAGAATGACCCTCCTTCTCCAGCGGAGCATCTGGTGGATTCAAACCATGTGCCTTTGGGATTGCAGTGCAGCTTCTTGGTGCTAGGCTACCAAAGCTCCCTCCAACCACGTGTTTATTTTTTTTTATTTATTTTTTTAAATAATGCCCCTCTTTCTATCCTGTTACCCTGATTAATTTTCTTCATAGCCCCTGCCACCTCATCTGTATTTATATATTGTCTCTCTCCTCACACCCTCACACAGGAGCTCCATGAAGGCAGGGACTTTGTCCATTTTGTTCTCGGTTGTGTTCCAGCACCAAGAACACTGTGTGACTCATAGCAGGTGCTCAGTAAACTATAATTGAGTCACTGGCTGAGAAGGAGCCTTTCTGGATGCCTCCTGGGAAGGATAGATTTATGGCTTTCCCACCTCCCTCAGGACCTCCCTGTGTTCTCTGTTCTCTTGAAGGAACACGTCAAAGTGGTGAAGAATGAAGGTTTTCGAGTGTACCTGGAAACCATGGAGCCAGGGGCCAAGTACTGTGCGAAGGCTCAGACGCTTGTGAAGGCCATTGAGAGGTCCAGCGCCTTCAGCCGGACCGAATGTGTTGAGGTGCAAGGTAGGAAGAGGAAGTTCCCATGGAGCTCTGCATGAGGCGGCACCTCCTGTGGGCTCCTGAGCTTCTGGATCTTTCCTTGGTCTCACTGACCTGCCCGCAGGTTGAATGGGTCCTCACAGTGAGAGAAAGTGTGCCCCACCCTAATTCTCTCCAAGTCAGGAGCATCCCTGAGGGATGGGTAGAGGGGTCAGGTGAGCGGCTCTCTAGAGCACTCCACCCTGAAAACTTTCTGGACCTGGGGCCTGACGAATCGAGAGTGGCTTACAGGTGGTCACTGTGAATGGTGTGAGCTGCAGGGGAGCCGGCCTGGACATCAGATATTCATATCCAGAAGCACCCCATCTGATATCACATCTGATGGAAAGAAACTTTAGGAAACATCTACTGAATCACCTTGTCTGCTTTATCCTTGAATTCCTTCTCGCCTACAGTTTTAGAAAACCCCAAAACATTCACAATTCTGCCATTCAAACACCACTTGTTACATTTCTAAGTGTAATTTTCAGTCATTAAAAATGCCAGTTCTGATTTTGAATATTTAGTATATGAGGCCAGCGGCTGCTCCATGGGAGAAGGATGGGCAATCACCTCCCGTGTCATGAACTGCCTTTGAAAACCCACCGGGAGGGTCAGCTGTGGGTCAGTTCTGACTCGATGGTACACAACAACAACAACAACAGCAACAACAACGTGGAATAAGACACACCTGGAAAGCCCCCATCTCACTGCTCTTTCCCATGCATCTGTGCGTTATGAAGCCAGCTCTACCTTTGAGATCTTGACAAGTCACTTACCCATTCTGTGCATGGATTTGATCCTCTGAGAAAGCAGGGCTGTTCTCACCTGTTTGAAGAAGAAAGGAATAAACATCTACCTCCTGGCACGGTGCCCACGGCAGTTAGTAACTTTAGTATACACGTGAGGTCCTTGATACACAACTGTCATTGCGTGCCTGCTTTCTGAAGGCAGCGTTTCCCTCCCATCACAGGGATTAATGCCAGGAGCAAATTGTGAAGCGTGCTCTGTTTTCAGCTAGCATCCTTCTGAGCTGTTCTCTTTGGCACTCCCCCACATCCTGTCCCAGGGCTGGCACTGAGCCATCCTCCTGATAGCCCAGCCAAGGTACAGACGATTGGTTGCTTCACAAATGATACTCCTTCCTTTTCCCTTCCAAAGAAAAGGATTTGAATCATCCCTGGAGCTTTCTGGAAATCAGACCTTAATCTTGATGTTGGGGTGGAGGGGGGGAAGAAATTATTTTGATGGTAGTCATTTTAATCACTTGGGCACGGATGAAGTCTCAGAATGTTGGCATCTGCTGTCTTGGCCGACGTGCAAAGCCAACTCTGGGGAAGTGAAGAGGCTCAGAATTGGAGACTGAGTCTTTGCTGCTGTCTCCTAACGTCTCCTTCTCTCTGTTTCCAGGACAGGCCCTCCCCATGGTGCTAGCCCTGTTTGCATGTGCTGGCTTTGTGCTGCTCCTTGTGGGGGTACCACTGTCCACTTGGAAAATGAGTCGAATGCTCCAGAACTCCTGCTGCCCCACGGTGGTCCTCCCAGACACCTTGGTAATAATGCTCTTTTTTTTTTCCTTTATTTTTTTCTTTTCAGCATGACACTGGCTAAATGGTTAAGTCTTAATCAGCCATGGCACATAGTGTGTGAGCTTGAGGGCAGTTGTAGAGCAGGGGACGAGCACGGAGCACGTGTCGGATTTCACTTCTAATCAGGAAGGCTGGGAGAAATCTCCTCCCTCTGTACTTGACACCATGATCCAGCCTGGTCAACAAGCATCTTAGGATGTCTGACATCCCAAGGGCCACTTGTGTACGGTCTCCCACATCCCCTTCCACACTGGCCTGCTATGCTTCCCTCACCCCTTTCCACAAGTTTGTTGTTTGTTTGTTTTTTTTTTTAATTTATTTTGTTATTTTTGTGTGTACTGTCAAATAGGATCTGACTTGGTACAAAAGGAGATTTCCCTTCCTTCTCCAGCAGAACATCTGCTGGGATTTGAACCACATACCTTTGGGATTGCAGTACAGCTTCTTGGCACTAGGCCACCAGAGCTCCATTTCCACAAGTTTTAAGAGCAGCTAGTTCTGGTGGCCTAGTGTTGAGAAACTGTGCTCCAATACCAAAGGCACACAGTCATCTACTCCACAGGAGAAGGGTGGATAATCTCCTCCTGGGCAATTTACTGTCTCTGATAACCTGCTGGGGGGTCAGCTATGTATGAGTCGGTTCTTCCTCCAGGTACACAACAACATATTCAATAACATGCAGCAGCTATATCCAATATTATCCATTATACTAACAACTATACCCAATAGCATCTATTGTAACAGCAGCTGTACCCAATAGCATGAGTTGTAACACAGCTATCTCTAATAGCATCCACTGTCAGCTATACCCAATAGCATCTATTGTAACAGCAGCTATACCCAATAGCGTCTATTGTAACACACCTATCTTCAATGGCATCAATTGTAACACAGTTCTCTCAAATAACATTTATTGTAATAGCAGCTATATCCAATGACAGTGACGCGTACTTGAGGCAGGGACTCTGTGTGTGTGTGTGTGTGACTGGCTGTGATTTGCCCTATGAAGTGGGAGGAGCAATCTGGACTTGCACGGTGACAACGGAGCACAGTTTCTGACTGATTTTTTTTTTTTTAAATATTATTGTTTTATTAATTGTCAAAGAGCCCTGGTAGCTTACCTGATTACACGTCACACTGCTATCTGAAAGGTCAGTGGATTGAATCTACCTAATGCTCCATGCAACAAAGATGGGCAGTCTCCTCCCATCAAGATTTACAGCTGAAGAAATCTGATAGTCACAAGGAGTTGGAATCAACTTACAGCAGTGGGTTTGGATGGGATTAATTACTGAAAACTGTTTGGTTCTTACATCAAATTTTCTTTCAAATATTTTTGAAGCTCTTTTTTTGGGAACCCACACATTTATGACTGCTACAACTTCCTGAGTAACTGAGTCTTTCATCATCATGAAATATCCTTCTTTATTTATCTCCCTGTTCTGATATCAATATTGCTTACTATTTTTGTGATGTATCTTATCCATGTTTTTCAATTAATTTGTGTCTTTTAATTTACTGCGTGCCTTTTATAAACAATATCTGATGGGAATTTGCTTTTTTGTTGATTTGTCATAGATCCTCACAACTTTTGCTTTTTTTAAAATTTTTTTTACAACTTTTGCTTTTTAATTGGAACATTTAGTCTGTTAACATTTAATGTAATGCTTGTCTTGGATTTAGGTTTATAACTTGATTTAAATTTTCTCTTTCTCCCATCTATTTTTGCTCCCCAATCTTTCTTTTCTGTATCTTTGTATATTTCCCCCAACAGTGTTTTGATTTATCTATTGACCCTCAAATTTACTAGCCAGTCCATGTGAGAAAATTGGGCAATCTCTCAATGAAATTTACAGCTTCAAAAACCCAATTGGAGGGTCAGCTATGAGTTGGTTCTTATTCGACAACAATGATCACACACACACACACACACACACACACACACACACACATACAATTTTATTGAATCATGAATGATTTAAGACTGGTACAATCATCAGCTTTATTTTAGATGATGTGGGGTATTAACTCCAATCAACCATTAGTAAATTAAAAATCTCATGACAAATAAAAACCAAATAGGAAGGAAAGGAGGAAAGAGGCTAGAGGAGGAAGGAGGAGGCATACCATACACGAAATACTCAATTTCTAGTTTTCTCTTTTAAAATGGCTAGAAAAAAAATCATCAAAATGCAGCACTTTAATAAATGACTTACAATTTCTGTGTTGCAATGAAAAAATATACATCTTATAGGATATATTTCATGTTCTATAAAATGACCTTTTTAATTCTAATAAGAGAGCTCTAGTAGAGTAGCTCTTAGTGGAGAAGCTCAACTATTAACCTAAAGACTGGCGGTTTGCTGTGGCATTTGAACAAGAACAAACTGGGAGGAGGGTAGAGAGAATAGTGCAACAATGAATGAGTGGAAGCCCAAAATCTCTGTAAATGTTTATGAAAATTAATA